TTATGAAAACAAACTTTATTTTTATTTCCAAGAGCTACACAAACGTTTTTCAGGACACGAATGTGGATATCCTATGTCTGAAAACGTAATTTTCAATGCAAAGAAAGAGTCCGCTTGCTGCTGCGTGTTGTAGTAGTAGCTTTATTCGCACTGAATCTCCGCGCACTCTTCTCTGCTCCCCTTATTGCTCCTCTCTCTCCTCGCTGCCCGATCTGTTCTTCTTCCTGCTCATCACTTCTTTTCCGCGCACGAAATGTCCGCGCCCCCCCTCCCCCCGCTCCTCACTTCTCCGTCTTGCCTAACCAACACTGTAGTTAGTTGTTTACAAGTCATGTGCAGCGATGAGGACTTTCTGGTGTAAGGAGGAGGAGGGAGGAGGCGTTTCTACGTAGGAGCTGTGGGGGAGGGGAGGTGGTTTCACACAAGCGCAACATTTGAAAAAGGACAAACAGTCGCTGGATTTCTTGTTCCTTCGAAAATCCTCTAACCTCTACCTGGTTTAGTCCTGGTTTAGTCCTGGTTTAGTCCTGGTTTAGTCCTGGTTTAGTCCTGGTTTAGTCCTGGTGCTGTCTGACGTGTGGTTATTTCTAGTTCAGGTGTTTTTGACGAGAGGCTGTTGTTTCATGTTTACAACCAGTTGCAGGACTTATTGTTTTTTAATAAACCTCAACCTTTTATTCTTGTCTTGTGTTGTATCGTCTACCACAGCCTCAACAACTATTGCAGCTAATAATAATAATAATAATCTTAATATAATAATGATTATAATAACAACACATCATTAGCCTAATACTGTTAAAGAAAACCGTGTTTGAAGCATGTCTGCTGTGTCTGACTCCACTGCGTTAAAATATTTCTCAAATGGCAGTGCGCCCCCTGCTGGTGACCCATGTCCCTCCAGTAGATTTGCTCTGACGCCGACTCTGACAATTAAGAATGTGAACAAACACGCTGAGCCAATTTTGGAATGAATGAGCTATAGTTTTTATCGCGGCTCCTTAGTTTGTTTGCTGTATGATTGATCTAAAATCTAAAATCAATGGGCGGATGGCGGCAGGTGCGGTTTTGAAAACCTTCGGTGCAAATGGACAGAGGGACGATGATGAGTTTTGTGTCGCGGTTGCGGATGAAAAAATAGCCCATCCACAACATCACACACACACACACACACACACACACACACACACACACACACACACACACACACACACACACACACACACACACACACACAACACACACACACACACACACACACACACACACACACACACACACACACACACACACACACACACACACACACACACACACACACACACACACACACACACACACACACACACACACACACAACACACACACACACACACACACACACACACACACACACACACACACACACACAACACACACAACACACACACACACACACACACACACACACAACACACACACACACACACACACACACACACACACACACACACACACACACACACACACACACACACACACACACACACACACACACACACACACACACACACACACACACACACACACACACACACACACACACACACACACACACACACACACACACACACACACACACACACACACACACACACACACACACAAACACACACACACACACACACAACACACACACACACACACACAACACACACACACACACACACACAACACAAACACACAACCACACACACACACACAACACACACACACACACACACAACACACACACACAACACACACAACACACACACAACACACACACACACAACAACACACACACACACACACACACACACACACACACACACACACACACACACACACACACACACACACACACACACACACACACACACACACACACACACAACACACACACACACACACACACACACACACACAACACACACACACACACACACACACACACACACACACACACACACACACAACACACACACA